GGGCAAGCCGCCAGCGGATTGCACTGGAGGGGGAAATATAGAAACGGTGGGCCCAATGTCCACTCCAGGGAAGGGTGGGTTCTTTGGAGGTATTGTTGACAAAGATGGCACTGCTTGTTAACGGTCACCTTACTCTGTTGAGCTTCTTTGCCTTTCTAATCCCGCCGTGTCGCTCTTGCTTTTTTCTAACGTTTACTCCTCCTTTTCTTTTTTGTTTTTGTTGTTGTTGCTAATATTTTTCTTCTGTCTCGAGAAGCTATAAGAAGACACATGTGTAAATATTATCATGCCTTGAAAAAGACTGGGCTCCAGTCGAAATGTCGGCTGAATAAACAAGTTGTTATGCGAAAGCGCATCTACTTTTATACTTTATATATATATATATATATATATGAGATATAACAGACAGTAATGCCAAGGAATGTACAGGGGAAGTTATTAGAACCCTTATCCCTTATCCCTTATTTTTTATATATATATATATATATATATATATATATATATATATATATATATATATATATATATATATATATATGTGTGTGTGTGTGTGTGTGTGTGTGTGTGTGTGTGACATATGAAGCGATGGTAGGTAGAGGCGGAGAAGGAAAAAGTGCTTAGAAATAAACATGGCGTAAGAGCCAGGCCACGTCGCCCATTCATCATAGCGTCACACGAATCCTGCAACATAAGAAGGTGGCGATGGTTGGTAGCAGCTGAGGAGGAAGAAGTCAGAATAGAATAAAGATGATGTATGAACAAGGTCACGTCTTTCATTTATTATAGCATCACACGAGTCGACAGGATGAAGACCTACCAGCTCATCAGTCGCTCATCGACACAGTTCCCCAGATCTAGCGTCACACGAGTCGGCGGGTCACACGAGTCGGCGGGTCACACGAGGGTGACGCTATGATGAATGGTAGACGTGGCCTGGTTCATATGCCATCTTTATTCTATTCTGACTTCTTCCTCCTTAACTTCTACTAACCATTGCTACCTTCTTACGTTACAGGATTCCCCCCCCCCCCCCCCCAAAGAATGCGTGCGTTACATATTACAATACATAATGAACAAGCAATCTTAGAACACAAAAAAAAATGTCGAAATGGGCTGCCGTTCCACATCACATTGAAGTTCCGCAAGATCGCACAAAGACTTCACTGGAGAGGGCAGGAATCTGCGGTTATCAAGTGCGGCTCTGGTGGGTGAGGCTGGCTGTTACGCTCTCTGCCGTTCCACATCACATTGAAGTTCCGCAAGATCGCACAAAGACTTCACTGGAGAGGGCAGGAATCTGCGGTTATCAAGTGCGGCTCTGGTGGGTGAGGCTGGCTGTTACGCTCTGGACAACATAAGCCTGCTTTTAGCGTGGAAACAGATGGAAACGCGCGTTCTTTCGAGGAATGAAAGGGGTACAAACGCCTTGTAAGATGGACAGTTTTGTTGGCGTTGCATTTTTCGTCGTGAGTGATACAAACGCCGTGCATGCAGTTTGTGTGCCCGTTGATCGTGGCTGATTGGGCGCTGCTTGTGTTCCTGCAGAGTACAAGCGGTTGTTTTGTGGCATTTAGGGAGTTTTCTATGGCGATGGCACAGATAATCAGACCAAAAGCGCAATCTTTAACGCTGGTGCAAGAAAGTTCCTTGGCTTTTCTTTCTTCGAAGATGGCTCAAATGCGAAATCAGTCATTTCTGTAGTGGTCGTGATGGTGGTCGTTGTTCACGACATTTTTTAAGCTGCAAGTATGCTTGCGATGTGGCTTATGTTTTTCATTGTCCTTGTTGGTGTGGCCGTTTTAGCTGTTGGGCCTCTCCTTGTTGCTTTTGGTGGCATTACTGATGTTGACGTATTAAGCGATGATTGGTAGAGGCCGAGAAGGAAGAAGTGCTTAGAAATAAACATGGCGAATGAGCCAGGCCACGTCGGCCATTCATCATAGCGTCACACAGACAGAATGGAGACCTGCTTTCCCCTTCATCAGTCGCTCAGCATCGACGCAGCTCTCCGCAAGACAACTTGACGACACATGGACTGCCGTACAAGTGCCTAGCATTACGCATCGATCAGCATCATGACAGAACCATTGACTGACCTTCCCATTCCCAAGTACACCGGAGCAGCAGACGATGAACCTGTACAGGACTGGTTCGACCTGTTCGAGCTCCACACTACCGCTGCATCATGGTCGGAACGGGAAATGGTTACGAACTTCAACAACTACGTTACTGATGAAGGATTTAAATTTTACCTCACCCACATATTCAAGAACGACGAGTCTTGGCAAAAAAGTAAAGAAGTAATCATCTGGTTTTCAGACTATAATGAAAATTCGATTAGAACACGCACTCTTAGTGCATTCGAACTCAATCATCGCAGTCATAAGCGGCCTTCACGCATTCAAGCACAGCGCATGTATTTACAATTCCCGTCAGGTGAATTTAGCCACATGCTCATGGAAAGACCACACGGTCGTTTCGCCAACTTTCCACCTGGTTCCTTATATGCACCAATATCGCCAATGCTTAACTTTGTGCTGCATAAGAGAATTTAATCCACTATTGATGACCCAGATGCACTAAATACTTCGTGCTGCATGCGTACTTTGCAAATTGACTTGGCATCACCTGTCATCGACATTACTGGTAAACATGATGAAGCACCTCATAATATCGTCGCATTTACGCATGATAAGTTAACAAATCCGCATGAAACCAACCCTGACAACAAATGTTCACATAAATCTCATTTGTTCAAAATATTCAACTCAGCACTTCTACAAAGACAGAAGCATTCACAATCAGCATCTTTTGAAGAAAAGTCTTCTGCAGAAGCATCTAATGTTCATCAATCACAAGATCGAAGCAAAGCAGAAAGCCCAGACGCGTCGAACATCGCACGCTGCCAAGCGCAAGAGCCCTTTGTAGTGAACAGTGCAGAAGAAACCTTCAAAGACCTTTTTGTCGATTCTAGTGCATCACCTTCATTTTCTTTCGAGAATCACGACAACCCAACAACTACCAACTATTTACTGGTCACATCAACTATTGAAGAAAAGCAGGCTTGTGTTACTAAAGGCGTACCACCTCATAAGATTCCGCAACATCAGCAGTGTCATCAAGAACTCAAAGAACTTCAGAAACTATCGCAGTTGCGTCAAGCACAACGACACGACAACTAAAGTGAGACCACAATCAAAATTGTGGCTTAAGGATGGTCATTAAGAACGACACAAACTGAAGGAAAGACCAAGTCAACATCTGAGCCATATTCGTAGAAAGAAACGTCAAGTCTTCTGTACCAGATATAAAGGCATCATGTACAATCCTACCGAGGGAGATACCACCACAGAAAACCACAAAATAGACTAAACGCTACCATTTGCAAAATGCGGGAACACAGACATCGTACCAGCAACTGCGGTTCTCACAAACGGAAGCTGGAAGCAATACTTCTGTCTCAGTTACGGCACAGAATACACTGCCCATGACAGAAAATTCGACGCATACGACGTCCGACCTTCAAATGCTACAAGGACGTCCAAGCTCGTTCATTTTTCGCAGCTGCTGAAGCCATGTCATGGTCAGTGCAGTTGCGCAGGACGTGATTATCTTCTCCAGAATGCCACAGTCAGCCTCGCCCACCAGAACTCCTGCGATAATTGGACTGCTGCCCTCTTCCCTGAAGTCTTTGAAAGTTTACGGAACTCACCTGGAGCATAGAACCAATTGTGAATTTTGACATTTATGGGCTTTCAATCTCTCCTTGTTTACTTTTTCTTGTTTGTAATCCATGCCTGCTTTCGGGGGAAGGGGGAATCCTGTGACGTATAAAGCGATGGTTCGTAGAGGCCGAGAAGGAAGAAGTGCTTAGAAATAAACATGGCGTATGAGCCAGGCCACGTCGCCCATTCACCATAACGTCACATATACATATATGATGAATGATGGCGACGGCGGTGAAAAAACCAGGCAAGACTATCCATATAATTGCCATCGCAACTAAAGAGAAAGCAAAGCTGAAAGTCGTCAGGGGCCACACTATGCGTGGGCAGAGAAACTATGCACGCGCGCATGGCGTGAAAAACGAAAAGCAAACGACACGAATACTGCAGAAAACTATTCGATAAAGCGCCCTCCATATATATGACGCTAACTAAAAGTTATGTGACGCTAAATATATGTGACACTAACTAAATGTTTTAGTTCACCACATATGTGATGCTAACTAAAAGCTTGCACTGCCAATGCGCAAAAGAAGTTTTTTTTTTTCATTTTGATTTGGAGTGGGGGTTCATACTGCGCATGCTCCCGTGGCGGCGAGAACGGCGGCATTGCCGGCTCATGGGGCGCAGTGCCGGCCCGCCTGCCAGCCTTGCGCGTCGTGCACGCCGCTGCCACTTCACGATTTGGCAGCGGCAGGGCAGCTGCGGAAAATGCATGCTCGTATCAACATGCCAAAATCTGGAGCAAAATTTCAAGATTGTCTGTGGGGAAAATTCGTTATATCAAGGTTGTCTCCCACTGTTCATTAGTTACATAGAGTTCGCAAATACATGTGCTTCTATGGAGCAACGGCCGAGAATAGAAAAACTTCGTTATATCAAAGAACTCGTTATATGGAGGTTCATTATAAGCAGGTTGAAATGTATAGATCTGTCAGGAATTATTAGTGACAGGTGAAACAAATGAACGCTTTGGAGTCCACAAGATTTCAGTGGGCAATAAACCAGGTAAAGTCAGGAGAAGCATGGCAGAACTTTCCCCACAAGTCAATGTAACCTGAAGGAGGCCAACAAAGGGGTGGCTAAGGAAACTTGACAAGAGCAGTGAAGAAATCGATGCGGCAAAAAGTTTTCATGGTAGCAATATAGAAACTTGGTTAAAAAATGTGAAGAAACGACTAGTATTTGAACCACTTTTTCCAATTCAAAAAGACACAAGCAAAACAGCAGCACTCAATCATGACAATAACCCTGACACCGTAATAGGACACCCACCATGGCTAATGATGTGAGCCCTTCTTCGCAGGTTTTCCTCTTCCATCATAGCGCACTGGTGTTCGTCCTGAATGTCACGCAGGAACTGTCAAAAGTAATGATATTCACTGAAAACTTGCCCAGAGCACACGTCTACTATACCTTGGGCTTGATAACCAGCTCTCCAAGCACCGTGAACAGGCGAGCAAATCCGACTGGTGTACAAACTGCATGAACAGAGAAAAATATGGCCGTGAATCAAGTAACAGTGCCTCAATAGTGTTGTGCCAAAATGCAGGATCCAACAGTCTGCTTTTTAAAGTGTCCCAGTAGTTGTATAAGAAAAGCATTAACAAACAGAGGAGAGAAAAACTCATTAGTAAATACCGTATTTTCTCACGTAATTAACACACTCTCATAATGAGCACATTCCCTACCTTGACCTAGAAAAAAAAAAAGAACTTTTTTGTAATGAATCTGTTCATTTTATTTCTGTATTAGTGCTGTTGACGATCGAAATAGAGTTAAATCAAGCCATTATACCACAAAATAACAAAGCGATAAAAGTCAAAACAGTTTTGCAACCATGCGAAACAGTTGCGAGCAGCGCGAGCGTGGACGACAATCTAAATTTGAAAGTCGCACCTTTTACGGCAAAGTGCCATCTGTCTAATGCAGGAGAAAACTGTCTGCTGATAGTGCCACGCAAGCACAGTGGGACAAAAACAAAGCGCGCGGCCTTCAAACTAGCGCGTGCACGGCGTAGAAACATGCCGCGCACTAGTCATCTCGAAGGCCATGCAAAGTGCAACCGCACCCGCCACACTGATGATGCATTATGCACATGCAACGTTTAGTGTGCCGTCATCCGACGCTGCATTTATTGCGATAGCAATTATACTGACAGTCTCAGCTGGGTTTTGCCGCCGAAGTCAGCATCACTCACCATATATGTATATAAAGAAATCTGGGTATAACGAACTTCAGGAAGATGCAGCAATTAGTTAGTTATTTTGAAAGGTCATTAAAGTAGAAACCCAAAAATCAACTATAAATACTTATTTTCCACCGACCAAAACAACATACCTTTACAACAGTGGGTCCTTTAAATCGTTTTTAATGAGAAAAAAAACTAATGCACAAGTGAACACCAGGAAATGCACGTTAACTTTGATAAAGTCCGTTTTTTTTTATTTTGTTTGACGTGTGCAATCACAACTTTCGCAGCACCAAGGGCCCCAGCTGATCCACATTTCTGTGGTGCCATTCGGTTCTTTGGTCACAACAGCCTGCTTTTTGCCTTCCAGTTGCCAAAGAATATCCATTTCCTCGCTTAGCGAAAACTGACTCCGCTTCTTTGTCGCAAGCAGAGACGAACTGATTTGTAGTAGCACCACAGTGCGAATGCCGACTTGCTTTGCAGACGCGATAAGTAATCCCCAAAAAGAGATGAACAAGATTGACAAACAAGGCCTCCAAGTACTAGAACACGTGTAGAATAGACAAAGAAAAACCCGAAGCGTCGCGGCTTCCATGGCCTCTTCCGAAGAAAAAAAAAGTGCTGAAAAAATTCCTCGCATTTCGTTTTCTGCTCCCTCGCTGTCTCAGGTTTTCCACGCCTATGCTTCCTGTTCTGCGACTCCCACTCTGCCCTCTGCCTCGCTGACCTTGCCCTCCCGTAATGTCCTCGCCTCTGCGCTTGTAAACCTCCAGGGTCAACGCTTTAATAAAAATAAAAAAAGTGTTTTTTTTTCCACCTCCGCACTGTCGCGCATTTTCTGAGAAGCCGATTGTTATAGCGCGAGAACAGAACAGCGACAAAAATACAAGAAAGATATGAGCGCTCTTTGTCGTCGTTCTGTTCTCGCACTATAACTATTATCATGTCCTACCAACTAGCCCAAACTGCCAGACTTCTGAGAAGCAAGGCGTTCAACGGCGACAAAAAGACAAGAAAGATATGAGCGCTCTTTGTCGTCGTTTTGTTCTCGCACTATAACTACCATCATGTCGTACCAACTAGCCCGAACTGCCGCACTTCTGAGAAGAAAGGCGTTCGTTCGCTTTGTTGTCTGCTTGCGTACCGCTCTAATGGTCGCGATGGATTTCAGAACATGAGTTCGTAGTACTGAGGCATTGTTATTATAACGCAGAACTAAAATAACGCTCGTTATTCTGAAAAGTTCGGTATTCTGAAGTAGGTAGTAGCGAAATAGTTTTACATTGAAACTATTAGCAGTCGGCGCAGGATTTTTTAAAGGTTTGTTAATCTGAAAAGTTAGTTAATGTGGTGTTCGTTCTACCACGATTTCACTGTACGTATCTATATATACGAAAACTCGAGAAAGAAAAAAAGCCACCCGCGCTCGGCGCCCAGCTCGTCTGGATGCGCAACGACGCACGTTTATCTCCCACATGTACTTTGCCCCGTGGATGGGGGTAGATGCTTGTGCGTGCACGCTTATCCTTAGGTGGGAAAAATTGCACGCCTTCGGCTTTGGCCGGAGCGGTTGCGTTTAGTTGCCGGGTGCACAAAGATCACTTTGCTCGCTGGCAAAAAGAGCGTGCTTTTCAAACACAGCAAAGTAATAACTGGGACACTAGTTTGCACTCACTTGTACCTGTGATTACGTTTAGTGCGTCGATTTTGTTTAAACAGCGCGTTACCTGTTGAGCAGTTAACGTTGTTAGTTTGCTCTTGTCCTGTGTGTGTTGTTTCCGTGTGTCAGGTGTGCGTGAACAGCGCGCTGCACGTTTCGATCTACTAGCTGTTCTCAGCATTACATTCTAAGTTGTTGCTATCACACTCATTGCTTCCCTCTTGCGACGAAACAGTGACTTCCCTCTTGCGACGAAACAGTGACAGTCATAGTGAAAGCTGGAAGAGAGGCCTTTCAGAGCCTTTTCTAAACAATTTTTGGGTAACTGCTACAAGCACACTTTCTGGGTATACAGTAAGCCATAAATTATCTTAATTTTAGTGTAGTAGGCCGGCATTCACTATGCTATCCTTCATGATTTTTTGCAGAAGCGTGGTATCTGCTATACACTTGCAAAAAATTTTGTGTAAATTTTTATGCAAGGGCTGACAACGATGAACAATTATGCCTAAGTGGGTATGCACAACAGTATATAGGTAATTAAGATTAAGATTTTGTACCAGGTTAGAACATTGGACGACCCACTTGTTATGCAATTTGCATTATGTGGCGCATGGGTATTCTTTTGCTGTTTTAAATTCATTTATTACTATTACCAACACGATTACTTTCCCAAAATTAAGCCTGCCTAAGGCAAGTTTGCAACACAGTTTCAAGCACTGACGTGGCCCTGCAGTAGAATATTAGGCTGGCATGCAGGAGGCACAGGTTCGAATCCCATTGTTTATTGGTATTTTTGTGTACTAAGTTTATTTCAAATTTTCTCCAACAGTGATTCTAATTTTCTCCAATAGCGGACAACTACGGCGCTGCACGCGTCCCTTGTTGTGATCTCATAGCAGCTTTCACTATAAAAAGAACAATGCACATGCCCTAGCTGGGGAAAATAATGAAATGATGGAGCATGGTTTGATTTAATGTGGAGATATACTAGCCTGTGTGTGTGTCTGGTTTATACGTGTGTAGCGCAGTTATCCCCTTTGTGTTGTGGAGATGTGCACCCAGGTGCACGTTTGGGTGCAAGCCTGTTGTCCCTAAAAGCCAAGGCAATGAAGCCTTGGAATTTAGGGACAGCTATGGAAAGCTGACACGACCATGATAGATATAAGTAGAAGATGTTTAGAGCATTCATGGCATAAAAATAGAGTGGGGACAGAAAAAAAAACAGTGAAAAAAATAAAACCAGCCAACCCAACCGCCCGCCCACCTGCTCTCCCGCTCTTTCACACATAGTGGCACTAGTCGCCAGCCCGTTATAACTGAAAGGGACAGTCAGAGCATCCATCAATCCATTCATTGCTAAGCTTACATCACCAGGGTGTCTCGTTACGGGCTAAGATGGAGTCACTCTTTGAAGGGCCAAATTGACTTTGGGGGAGAGCCGACACTATTTTCTTGCTTTTGGGTCACAGCGGATATCCCACTAGACGCACAAATCAGCTTTTGTCCTGCTGTCTCAGTGCAGAATGCCTGCGTACTGCATTCCGTAACGCACTATCAAAGCTAAAATGGTTTTTACAGTGTTTTAGTTCCCAAAAGAGCCAAGAACACAGCTCCCATGGACTGTGAAAGTTAAGGGGGACAAGTAACAGTCATCAAACTATTTTTCTACAGTTAAACCTCTTTATAGAAGACCCTGATATAAGAGATGAACGGATATAAGAGACACCATTTTGCCTACAGTAAAATACGGGTAAATGAGAAATCGCATACGACATACCCTGCTTATAAGAGACATCTCATATAAAAGACAATAATTGCTGTCCAAGGCATGCCTCGTATAAAAGGGTTCAACTGTATACGCAATGTGAGTAGGCACGACGTACGCAATCCATTATCATAGGCACATGCCAGAGGGTGCGCAATACTGTTTCTATGACGTAGACGTGCGGTTTTAACCCGATAAGTAGCTCTTTTTGCAGAAATTCCACCATCGTTGGTAGTAAGCGAAAAATCGTGTGTGACTGAAAAATCGACAAAGATGCAATGAAAATAAATAATAACAAATTCTGGGTTCGAGTGGGGATCGAACCCAGGTTGTTAGCATGGCAAGCGGGTGTTCTAGCACACAGGCACGCATCTCCTTGTAAATACAGTGAAAATAACTTCCTCTGCTTGGAAATTCAGTCAAAGTAACTTTCCTGTTTTACAAACACACACATCCTGCATACATGCTCCATAAAAGAAGATGAAATGTTGCAGTAATAATGCAGGGTACAAGCCTACATTGCTATCAAGTGTCACAACATGTGGTTATCATATTGACTTCATGGTTTAAAGCTGGTCACCCCTACAAAAGGCTATACTGCACTTATTCCCTTAAAAGCCAACTTCCGGGAGTTTTCGAGGTGAATAGATCTCAATGAAATTTGCTGGATTTATTCATTTGCACACTTTCATCATTCGTCCCTAATTACAGGATAAAGGCTAACGTCAAAGCGACGGAACAGAGGCGCCACTACATCGTCTGCTGTTCACAAGGCAATGATCACATGAGTTGCTTAGCCAACGTTTAGTTGGTTTAGCAGGCGAATTTCAGTTCGTTCTGGGCTTGCTACTGATGGGTG